ATTTATAACATTTATTAATAACATAACACCACTATGAATATAAATAAATGAAGCTAAACATATGAATAACTTGTGTAAAGAAAATGAACAAGTGTTGCACACAAAATAAATAACTAACATAAAGGATTTGGGTTATATGCATCATTTTCCTTAAAAACTTAATTTCAATTAGCCCAAATGGAACTTACAAGGATTGAATTAATGTTTCAAAAAAATTGTATAAAAATAATATCATCGGTAATTTATATCAAGTTTAAACTCGCCCGAAAAAAGTTAGGATCGAAATTAACTATATAACCTTTTAAAAAGAGTAAAATTATTCAAACACGATCCAAATAAATCCGACTCACTTGAATTGTCATCTTTATCATTAATTACAATGATCAAAGGGTGGTAACGTTGCAAAACTGGTTTCTTTCGCCAACCTCCCCCTCTCTTAGCCAAGAATGTTTCAAAAGTTTAGAGGATCAGCTGTTAATAAATTTGGTCAAGCGGATTGCATAAAAAATTTTCCAAAAAAATAAAAACAGGTACCATGAAACAAATAGATGTTCCGCCGTAGTATTTGAAAATTTGAGGAAACAATAATCATTATTAAAGACTTATAAGTATCATGTAAGAATTCATATTAAAATTCCGGGGGAGTAAAAAATAAATCACGCCAAACAGACAAGTGATAAAAAAAAAAGATCACAAAATATGATACATTATTTTCAAATGAAACTAAGGAATGGAAGTAGTTTTTCCCTATATTATTTGAATCACTTACTTAATAAAAGCAGTCGTTTACTTTTCTGAAATTGTAATTTACTTTCATGATTCAAAATGCTGTTGAAAAATATAGGTGTAGTCACTTCCTATAACCACTGGACTCAATGAAAGTATTTATTTTTTACTTTTGAAAGTGTCACACTGTCATTTACTTCTAGGGGCATTATAATATTTTGCAAAAAAAATTAATATCAGATAATCCTCGAAGACTTTAAAATAATTACCCTTTGGTCATGTTTTATCATTTGTTCAGGCAAAAAAAATATTCCATTTGTCAATTCAATTGAGATTTATTTACCATTTTCCCTGAAATTTGTGTGTGTGTGAAAGACTGTGAGAAAACATTTTACAGATTTCAAACAGGGAGATGTCAAAACTACCCCGGGCATTAAAAAAATTATTAATGTTATCAGTCGTAGGTCCGTGCAGACCCCATTTGAAAAGTTTGTTGAAACGTGAAGTACACGTACATATAACAGTTAACTGAAAAGGGTAAGAGGTCAGAGAAGCAAAGTTGAGCATGACTCACAGTATTTTGTCTTTATTGATTTTTGGGAGAACACAGTATTTTATAATTTTATATATCAAACGCTTTCTATGAGAAATTACTTAATAATTGATAATAGACTATTAATTAGTTTTTTATACGAAGTTTTTTACAATCTTCTAAAATTTACTTTTTAAAATAAGAATAAATCCAAAAATTATTTCATATTTAAACAATTTTAATGATTTAATTAGCACTCTTTAATCTTGATTATTATGAAATAGTTAGTTTATATTTAAAAAGGATTTAGATTTGGTGAATCAACCAAATCTATTCAATCAATATTTTAACTACTCCATTCAATCATAATTATAAGACACTTTCCATAAAAATTATTTAATCTTTAATATAAAATATTTTGTAGGTTATTCATTACATTGTTTAATATTACTCCCATTTCTTTAGTAATCAATTTAAATACACAATTCATGCACCTAAGTGTCAAAAGTAGGGTTTGTATATATACATGCACACAATTATATCGATGTTGGATTTGGTGCCCAGTAAGAATAAATGATCGATGGAAGAAACCATACGCTAGATATGTGAGACCAAATGTGGGTGGTTCAATGATAAACATAATAGAAAAATGCAATAGTGTTGTCGTAGATCGCAATGCAAATTGGGTGGGGTGGTTTTGATGTCTGTGTAGGCCACTATCTATTGTTGTGAGAGAGTTGCTTAGAATTATTCATAGATTAAAGTTTTCATTGATTGTGTTGATGTGTTGAACCTTCTCCTCAGATATAATTAAGAATTTCACCTATATGTGAATATTATTACATAGGCATATTCCCTCCTCTACAAAGACAGTGACATATCTATGATAGTGACATATCTATGACTCTTATGTTTAGGGAGGTTAATTATTATGTTTATTTTTTTGGTTAAGTTTGCTTTAGATAGAACAAATAAGTTTTAATTTTTTAATCAACTCTCATCTTTTTTGTTTGAAGGTGGTGGATGATAATAAAGGAGCTCTTTTGAGGGTTTTTTTGTAATCCTTTTATTTCTAGTTCTCCTTTCTAATTCAAAAAGAAAAAAAAATAGAGAAAGATGACATTGTTCCTAGGACAACTAACCATTGGCTTCATTAATTATGAGAGAATATGTAATGTAATTTAAAAATTTTTCATTTAAATATGGATAAACTTAAAAGTTTATTTTATTTTCAAATAAATTTAATAACTTAACCACCTCTTCTAATGAGGTAATTAAAAATGTCTTATAATAGAAATGAAAGGGAATATATTCATTGGATTTCAATATCTCATTGATATTTAAAAATTATTAAAATATTTCCCTCTCTAAAAATTCAAAATAATCTTGACTATAAGAACACTCATCATATACACATTGTCCCTTCCAAAATTTAAGATATATTTTTTTAGTATTATATAACAAATTATTTGAAACTATTTCCATTAAATCAACTGTAAGACTTACACCACTTGCTTTTAAATCATCTAAGGTCATATTTGGTACGATGCAATGCTTTTTGATGAAATGGGAGTGATAATTAGAATAAGCATAGGAATGGAAATGAGGATGAGGATGAGCTTAAAAAAACGTGTTTGGTGTGATGGAAGAATTTAATAAAATTATACCTACTATTTTTTTTTGGTAAAAAATTCTGTTTAGCAATATTGTTGTCTTTAAAAGGAAAAATAGTAATAAAATCCCTCCAAATTATATAAACAACAATTTAATCCTCTGAAATGTTATAATTTCATTGAAATCTGTAGTATTTCTTTATCAATAAATTTTAAATTAAAAAGATTATTTTTACCTTTATTGATAAGTTGTGATTTTTTATTCAATTTTTGTATTTTTTTTAAAAAAAGTTGTAATTCTTTAAACTAAAATTATGAATAAGGTTTTTTATTTTGAAAATTTATTTTTTAATAACAGAAATTATATTTGACAAATTATGATTTCTTATTTAATTCTTATGATTCATAGAACAAAAGTTATTTCTCAAGCAAAAATTGTGATTGAGACTTTTTTTAATAAAAAATTATATTTAACAAGTTGTGATTTCTTATTTAATTCTTATGACTTATAAAACAAAAGTTGTAATTTCTTAAACAAAAGTTGCGATTGAAACTTATTATTTTTAGTAAGGATAAAATGATCTTTTTACTAAAAAAAATTATTGACAAATAAGTCTTTATGAACTTTATTGAAATTATGACATTTTGAGGAATTAAGTTGTCATTTATATAATTCAAAATAATTTTATATCATTTGTCTTTTTTTTTAGCCAAAACAAAGTCATTTTTATTAATCATCAAAAAAATAAGTATAAACACCAATAGTTGAAGCAAAAAAAACCCTAAAAATTACAACCTAACACACAAAAAACTCACCAAAAAAAGAAAGGTTAATGAGCAAATAGGATTATGAACTCTTACTCAAAAATAGCCTTAAACCTTAAACTCTTAAAATATATAAAATAAATTATAAACTTTTAAATTTGTAACAAAATAAACCTTGACTGTTAACTTTTTTAATGCCGTTACTATTCATGCTAGTACTATCCACCATAGGCCCCGGTTGATGCTAATGTGTCATTGTGAATTAGTGCCGCATACCCTAAACTATTATGTTAGAAGCATTTTGAATCCTAAACTATTATGTTAATAGCGTTTTGGACCTTGAATTTTAAAATTTTGAGCAAATTACCTCCACTATTTATATATAAAATGTTGACTATTATATAGATTAAATTAGCATCAACATGCTTCACCGTAATGAATGCATTATTGGTCGTGACGAACGGCCTATAATTTTGTGAAATGACATTCTTTGCCCCTTTTTTTTGCAATGTTTTTCAAATAATTGGTATCCCGTGCTTTTGTATACTCTATAACTCTAATTTAATATTATTTTAAATAATATTTATTTATTTAATGGTAAAAACTTGGGATCCCATTTAAAAAGAAGTTTCAATATTAGATAATTTTAATTAACTGATTAATTTGAGTTTTAAATTCATTGATGAAATCATTGACTTTTGCATTCATCGTTCGTAAAATTTTATGATACTTAAACTTCTTTTCAAATAGGATTTTAGATTTTTACCATTAAATAAATAAACATTATTTAAAATTAAGCTACATTAGAGTTATAGATTATACAGAAGTATGATATATCAATTGTTTGAAAAACATTGTAAAAAAAGGGTAAAAATATTATTTTATAAAATTATAAGTCGTTCGTCATGGCTAACAATACATTCACTGTGACTAATCATGTTGAGATTAATTTGATCTACATAATAGTTAATGTTCTATACATCAATTGTGAGGATAATTTGTTCAAAATTTCAAAATTCAGGATCCAAAACTCTACTAATATAATAGTTCAGAGTTTATAATGTTACTAACATAATTTTTTAAGGTTTATAGTGCTAATTAATAATAACACGTTAACATTAATTAGGGCTCATGGTGAATAGTATTTGTGTGAACACATTAAAAAAGTTAATCATCAAGATTTATTTTACTATAAATTTAAAATTTTAAAATTTATTTTACATATTTTAATAGTTTAGAATTAAGAATAATTTTCAAACGGAAGTTCATAATTTTATTTGCTCATTGATCCAAAAAAGAAAACTTAAAATACAATCTAAAACAAAAAAACCAGGCAAAAACTAGCAAACACAACCAAGCAAAAGCAACGTTGGTCAGCCAATACCACTTCTAATCCCACAACCAGAAGCATCGCTGCTGCGATTAAGAGCTTCATCCAATAAAAGTTTGGCAAACATTGGTCATTTTTCCTTTTTTAAAAGAGCATTTTAACGCTGACTTTTATTGCCACCATCACCACGTGCATTGCTTCGTGATTTCGTATTTGGCTCGCTGCTTCACTCGACTCTGTTTTGATTTTTGCATTTAGCAGTTCACAAACATGCTCGCTTTTGCCCTCACTTCTGTTGCGGTGCCGACGCCAACGAGACGCTTGGCTCCTCCGACGCGCTTCTTCACTGTTGTGGGTCATGGATTCCCTTCCTTTCTCCCCAAGCAAGTCCAACAAGTCAAGGATCCTTTTGCCCGGAGCTTCGCTATGCGGATTCAGCGAATTCCCGTTCCCGTAACTTCTATTCGCTCCCTTGCATTTCTCTTTTCTCTTCTCTTGAATGGCTATGTTACCGATTCATTGAGATTCAAGCAATCAAATAGGGATTACTTCTTGTAGTTAAAGTATACACTGTTGTAACTGCGTTGTGTGAGTTCAATAGTTCTTCCTTATCCCTTGAGTGCTTGTGTTTGTCAGTTTGGGGGTGTGATGCACCATCTAAGTAATTGCTGTCGAAAACTAACACACTTTTCTTGTGCATTGTGTTTGTAGACCAGTTACTCAAAAAAAAAAAAAAAAATCAAAAGTTGTTTTTCTAAATAAAATTTAGGCTATTTATATGTTCTATTCTTAAGATAAACAACAGAGTATTTGTGTATTTTATTTTTTCGTTTCTTCAATTTGTTTTTAGAAAATCTAAGGAGATAAAAAAGAAGAGGAGGGAAAATAATTGAAATTCAGCAGAGAGTGGAATTTGTTTATATTTTTCTAAATCTTTCTCATTTTTAAATTAGATGGTAGATCCGTGTATTGCATGGAACCTATATAGTAAAGCTTCGTTATTGGCAACTTGTGAATAGTGTAGTTTTTATCATTATTATCCTTATTATTTATAAGGATTGAAGACGAGAGAATGGAGAGATGCGAGAATAATGATTTTTTTTTTCTTGTTGCAAAATCCTGTTAGTTTTGAGGATGGGGGATATAGTTGAGGATGTAATGTTATGATTCTCAGCAATTTTACATAAAAAAACATCATGCATTGTATAGGGAAAAGGAGATATGTGTGCCAGTTGTTGCATATTACGATCGTTAAGCTGCCTCTATTGAAACTTTTCCCGTGCTTATGGACTTAAAGATCCCAAATTGTGTAGGATTGTTCCTTTGTGAATAGGATTATTCATTATTTCCTGTCTGCCTGTCTGGTCAGTCCACAGTTCTAAGCGTTGTAAACCCATTTACGATCTTTTTTTGGCTGCTTATAAACTATTAATCTTACTATTTCCATATGACCTCATTAGGTTAACTTCTCAGAAAATCCCATTATGAGTAGCTGCGTGAAGCCAGTGATGCAAAACAAGGCAAATCCGTTAGTTCTTCTGCATGGTTTTGACAGGTTCTTAAAATCTGTTAAAGAATTAGTTTATCAGTTTCTATGCTCAATAAGCCTCTGAATTTCTGAGTCGTTTGAGTGCAGCTCATGTTTAGAATGGAGATATGCATATCCATTGATGGAGGAAGCTGGTTTTGAGGCCTGGGCCATTGACATTCTTGGTTGGGGTTTCTCTGATTTAGGTTTGCTTTGTACCTTCACTTACTAATTGCTTTCATCACATATTTGCCTCTCTACAAGAGATTTTTAGGGATGCTTTTTGTCTACTTTTCTTGTTATCCATCAGAAAATCTTCCATTATGCGATGTAGCATCCAAGCGCCATCATTTCTATCAGGTACTTAACTTATTTTAGGTGATTTGAAGCAAAGTTGCACACTTTTTGCATCAATTTAGTCCTTAGTAATCATCGTCATTTGACTCCAAATACTTTCAAAAACCCATCAATACGGCCTATAACGGATTAAATTGATGGAGGCAAGGATCATATTGATGGGCTTTCCAAACTTAGTAGCTTCCTAACCTAATTATCTTTAAGGACTAACTCCATGAAACATGAATCTTTCGAGGACCCAAATACCTTGTCATACTGTGTTAAAGCTGAAACTGATTTATTTATGACAGTTTTGGAAGTCTTACATCAGAAGGCCAATGATATTGGTTGGACCAAGCCTTGGCTCTGCTGTTGCCATTGACTTCGCCGCCAATCATCCGGAAGCTGTATGTGTTAAAGAAAATCGTTAGATTAAGTCATTAATTTATCTGAGAATTTATCTTCTGAAACAGCTTCGTCCAATGACTCAAGTGCGCTCAGGTCAATTACTTGGAGTTCATGTTTTCAGGTGGAAAAGCTTGTTTTGATTGATTCCAGTGTATATGCAGAGGGAACAGGACCGCTAGCAACCTTACCTAGAGTGGCAGCTTATGCTGGCGTATTTCTCTTAAGCTTACTAAAGCCTTGAACACACACCACTTGTCCAATATTTTTTTAAAAAGGAATAACAAAATTTTATCATATATCAAACATTCTCTAGGTGGATCAATATGTTGAAATCTTCATATTAGATCAGTTCAACTGAAAAACTTTGGGCCTGTTTGGCAATCTGTTCTGAGAATAGTTTTCTATTCTCCAGAATAAAAGAACAAAAAAAACCTGTTATAATGTGTTTTTAAAAAGTGTTTTAAAGAACAAAAAACTAAAATATTATTCTGGAGAACAAACAAATGGAAACAACTTTCAAGTAATCTGGGATTATTGTTTTGAAGAACAAGAGAGAATGAGAAAAATACCTATTTTCATTATTTTTTTGTTCTCAGAACATATTTTACAAAACACTAATGCTCAAAACAATAAAATAAAAACAGTTTTAAACAGCCTCTTTCACTCTTAATTTCAACTGAGATAGGAGCAGTAAATATTAAACTTTCCACCAGTTAGTTATAAAGACTGTCAAGAACCATATTAACACAAACGTCTAATCCATTAAGGTATATGTAAACATATACATTATTATACAGATCATCACCTTTCTTTTGACTCAGGTATACTTATTGAAGAGCATTCCTTTGCGCTTATATGCGACCTATTTGACCTTCTCTGACGTATCATTTAGTACCAGTCTCGACTTGGCTAGTGTGAGTTTCTTTATGCAATGTTATAGATTTCTTTATGCATTTTGAATATCTTCATTGGGCCATTTTCTTGTGCTCAATCTTCACATGCTCAAGTTCCCCAAACTTTCAGTATAGGAAATATGATTTGGATCTTCTAAAAGTGTGAAACTTATAGTGTCCTTTGAAGATAGAGTGACACTTAAATGAGTGAGAGAATGTATGGAACTCACATCTTTGATTTTAACACTCTTCTTCTTGACTTCTTTTATCTCTATCTCTCTCACTTCAGAAACAATTCATAAACTTCTCAGTTCAGAATATCCAAATCCATAGGAAATAGGATGGACACCAGTCTTAGTTGGAAACTTCCTATTTATGTTGTAACAATTTTTAGGAGTGCAAAACTTCTTGTACACTTGATCATTTTAGATTGATGTTGCTAACATAGGTGGGTCGCTTGCATTGCTTAATGCCTTGGTGGGAGGATGCTACAGTGGATTTCATGGCTAGTGGCGGTTATAATGTCGCTTCTCTGATAAAAGAGGTACATCTGCTGCAACTTGAGTTGAACAAGTTCACTTTACATAGTCGCAGGCATGTGCAGATGAGAGCTCTCCTTTCACTGTATATCTTCACTTGCTTTCTGCTTCGTGCTATGATGCTAGTTATTTTGATTTAACAGGTAAAGCACAAAACTCTCATCCTTTGGGGTGAGAATGATCGCATCATCAGCAATAGGCTTGCAGTGGTAAATTATCATTTAGCGCCCGCTCTCTCTCTCTGCATGCACACGTGTGTGCACACAGAATTATCCAATGTCTTATATTGTTAGGTTGGATTTGAGTATTGTTGAGCTCAATTAGGCATAACATGTGTTGAACCCAAAATCCATGATCATGAGGCATGATTGCCTCTAATGCACTTGATGCTGTTATTGGAACCAAAGTTGACTCATGAACTATTTGACCTTGCAGCGACTGCATTCTGAGTTACCTGATGCAATTATACGCCAGATCCCCAGCTGTGGCCATCTACCTCATCTTGAAAGCCCCAGTTCAGTTGTTAAATTGATTCTTGAGTTTGTTCAGAAAGAAACCAGCTAGGTAAATCACTGTGTTTCACGTTAGAAGGTGCTTAGAGGGCTTTCTCTAACTATTTATTTGTATTTGTTCTTGCTTCGGGCTCTGAAAGATAGGAACAATAGAGCTGATCACAGAAGTTAAAAATGGGTTAGTGATAGTTATGGCTTATTGTTAGTAATAGTTATGGTAGAGCGTAATGGTGTAGTGCAATCCATATAGCTGATCTCACCTAATGAGATAAGACTTGTTGTTGTAATAGCTATGGCTCTATAATTGTTTGTGGAAGCCTATGTTTATATGAACTGGACATTTCTGTTCTGGATCTTAATGTGATATTAAATTCTACCACTCGGCCCAAAAGAGAAAAATAATTGCTGAATCTGAATGTGATTGATTTTGAGCGATTATTTTTCTTACTGGTTTCATCATGAACTTGTCGAGAGTGACATTTGAAAGCAATCCCTCATGGATAATGTTGGATGTTGTGTCAACAACTGAACAATGTTATTGCCATTATTAGGTTGGGATAGCGAAACTTACAGATTGGTCCGGTCTGCTTTTTGATTTATTGGTTTCTTTTTTTTTTTTAAAGAAAAAACACATAAACATGCGTTTTTGTAGGATGATGAGGAAATTTTACCTAAATTCACTGTATCAAATATAGATAGATTAATTAAACCATAAATAAGTATAATAAAATCTAACTAAAAAATGTGTCTCTGTGTATATTTATTTAGAATTTATAATTGCAGTGACTTATGTTTAATAAGTCAAGTGTTTCAAGTAAAAATTACTACTCTCCCTGTAATGGAGGAGAGGAGGAATCACGCAAAGCTTCCAGAGAGAGGATGGTACAATTATTTGGGCAACAGTATTTTATTGGTGACAAAATTATTGTTGATTCACCTTGTTTCAAAAAAGTACGTGATGGAATATTTGCTTTCTTTTTATAAAAAAATTATGACCGAAGTTTATTTTAAAAAATGTTTATGATATACTTTATATTTTATAATTATAATTATAATTGAAAGATCCAAAAAATTAATTAAAAATTTTATTTATAAATTGTTTTCTTGACAAATTCTCAACCATTAGGAAGCTTATTTAGATTAGCTTGAATGATTCTAAGTTGGTTGAGGCACTTGCTTTATTGATGCTAAGGATAACTTTAAATATAGTTAAAATAATATGTCATGCACAATGCATAATAAAAAAAAATCATTTGTTTTTTTTATAATTTTGATTTAATTAAAGTTCATTCTTTGAATATTAATTTAGTTTAATTCTCAGTTTTAAATCGATTGAAATTCATTGATGCAACTCAATTTTTACAACTTTAATCATTTAATGCCAGTCTCTATATCCTTAAAAATAAAATTATAAGAATTAAAGTTATTTTTTAAAATTTAGGCATTAATATTTTTTTTAAATTTAAGGACTAATATTTTAAATGCCTAAAACTCTTACATAAAACATGAGAAAGTGATTGTACATAGAAAGAATTTGAAGATAATAATACTTCCCGATGTAATCTTTTATCTTATTACACGGGAACAAAATCATTTGATGGTCTTATAATTAGTTAAAAAAAATGTTCATGTCAAATTGTCCCATTGTCAATCGAATCATGCCATCATAAGTATTCATATCTATCTACTTTCGGGAGTCATATCAAGCTCCAAGTATCACCACTGAATAAGAACCAAATTCTCTCACCTTTTTCCCCCACGGAAAGAAGAGGAAGGAAACCAACAAACAAACCCAAGTGGGGTTTTCTTCTCGATGATTCCTTATATAATTTTACATGATTACCCCTCATATCGTGGCTAAATACCATCCGCGCACCACTCCTCTCCCACACTCTACTAGTTGTTCCAAGTTTACATTCTTATATATACCAGTCAAATTAAACCCTAATGATGAACATTAACCAGAAGATAAGAAGGGATAATGGTAATGGAAACACTGTGGATTGCAGAAGAGCTACTCCTTTGCTGTCATTGAAGCTTGTTCCTGTCCCAGTTGTTGTGGCCGTAGGACTTATCCCAAACGTAGGACTTGATGTCCCTGTTCCTGTGCCAGTGGTTGTCCCTGCAGTTGTGGATGTGGGTGTGGTTGAGGTTGTAGTGGAAGGTGTTGTGCCTGTTATCCCAGTTGTCGGCGATGTTGATGGTGTTGTCGTTGTGCCTGTTCCTGTGCTAGTACTACTGTAACAAGAAGAGATTTCAAATCATCATTTCAACATATAAAACCAAATCATGTTAGAAATTATGCAGAAAATAGACACTTTAGATGGAGGAAAATAGTTGTTTGATGATATAATCCTTCACATGCACACATACAGACACACACACACACACACACACAACTATCTGAATAGGTCAGGCCCAATTAAGGTAGCTCTTTCAAAAACCGTTTTTTGCATTTACCCATTATTCTAGGATGTAATGATATGATCCTTTTCAAACACCCCCACATGAGCACTTCACTTATTGCAGTGTTTGGCTAGGTTGTGCTGGTGTTGATGCTTCCTAGAGTACAGGGATGAAACAGCCATTTGATTATTAGGCACAGATCCGGGACTGGGATCAACTTGTGGGGAACAAGAGGACAAGTTAATTTTGCAGGAACAGAATTCTGATTCTGGGGAGGTAATAGATAGGGACTTAAACCAAGAATATAGCTCTTGGCTAATTGTGAAAGTTACTTGCAACTTGGAAGAACTGAACATGGTCAGTAAGTTTAGCTCTGATATCTTATTTGTAGATGGCACTCACTGTCACTGTGAGTGTAAAGAAAATAGATAAATATAAAGCTGCACCTAAATGACCTAAAAGAAAAGAGAACAAGTTGGCTGCTTGAAAAGGAAGAGTCAACAGAAAAATCTGATTAATGCAATGGAGAAAGAGCAATCAAACCAACAAGATCTCCCACCTTTCACACACACGCACACACAAATTCTTCCAAATTCAGACAATTCACACAATTCAATGGATGGGGGAAAATATTGATAAAGATCCAAAGTCAAGAAGCGTACCTAGCACTTGAAGGGAAAACACATCCAGAAGATGAAGCTATGGATCAACAACAAAAGCACACAACAAAGAGAGAGAGAGAGAGAGAGTAGATCCATATCAGTAACAGTGAGAGTCCAAAATGCAGGTGGGTTAGAAGAAGAAGAAGATGATGATGATGATGATGATGATGAGTGCTAACCAGGAGCAGTTTGAGAGGCAGTAGCAGTGCCAGCAAAGTCACAGCTTCCCTGAGCTTGACCTCTTTTCTGGAAGTAGCTATTAACAGCGTAGCTGCAGTGATCCTTCACAGTGTTAGGTTGGTAACAAGCACCATTCTGAAGAATAGGAGTACAGTCAGCTCCAGCTCCACAAGCATAATCCAGAGCTTTCTGAAGAGCTTGATCGCCCACACCATCCTTGCACACACAATATAGAGCACCTATTGTTGAAAAACCAGCAAATCAGTTAGTTTACACCAGATACTGCATGAATCGTCAGAGCTTCTTGAATTGAAGTCTTTCATCAGTTAAACGAAGCAAGAGGCAGAAGACACTCGGTACAGAAAACCCATTTCATCATCTCAAGCTTAAAGAGAGAAAATCTGAAGAACCCATCATGATCAGAAGAACTCTATTTAACCAAATGTGGAAAATCTGAAATACGCAAGTGGGAATCAAGATGCTTACTTGAGTGACCAGTGAGAGCCAAGAGAAGCACAAAATACAGCAAAAGAACCATGATTGATGATTCTAACCAGTGAATATTGCAGACTTTCGCGGGTATTGTTGCAGGTGATGGGGGGAGAGAGAAACAGAGAGACAGAGAGAGGAAAAAGAGAAGGTATGAAGATAGAGGCTTCTCGAGAAGAAAGGTAGAGTGAGTCTGGCGGAAGGGGTGTCGGTATCTGATGCGCTTTGTAATTCCTGCTCATTTATTTTACGACAGGACCTTTAACTTAAAAAAGGAGATTAACATTTTTGCAAATCATTGGACTCTTTGCATTGTTTAAAAGAAATTAAAAAGGTGGGAAGAAAGATCATTTTCAGCTTTTTATATACGCTTAGGCACGATGTTAACATTGTCAGATGTTAACATTGTATGGACCACAAACAGCACTAGCTCATTAGCGCCAGAGTGTTGCTAAACAAGGAAATGTATTCGGAGCGGGTCAGGTGGATCAGTGAGAGGCGGCGTGGAGGGGACACAGTCTTTCTTTTATATACATAAACATTTATATGGTTGTCTAAATTGATTTGAGTATTATCGAATTTAATTAGGAGTCATTTTTATTGAATGTATTTTTTATATTCACAGAATTAAAACTCACCATATTTAAGCGACCTTAAACCCTTTCACTATGGCCAACTTGTTTTGATTACACTGTGTCTCTCTCTCTCTCTATGTATATTAGTTAGCACATATATATACTTCTTTTAAACTATAATATAAAATATTTTTTAAAAATTTTACCTGATCCAAAATATATAACATTAAATAATTCTTATATTTATTTTTCAATCATACTCTTACTTTATTTATTCCTCTTTTTTAAAAAAATTATGTATTAAAATTTTAATTACTATTATCAAAACTTTTATATAAGGTATTTAATGAGGATATAAATAAAAAATGTAAATATTTTTAAAGATTTAAGATTTCAACTAATATTATTAATAAACCGTTAATTAATTAATTATAATTTATATTGTGGTTTAAAGGAATCTATGTATATATATATTTATTTCTTTTTTTTAATACAAATACAAGTATGTATATATATATATATACATTTCAATTATACAGTAATGTCACTTTCAAAACAGGCCAATGTGTTTAGGTACCCGAAATTTAAGGTGGTTTGGAATGGCAAATTGCCCCTGAAAGGATGAACGACCGGTTCGGTGGGTGTGGGTCCTTCTTTTTAGTTTCACACACACACACACACACTTTTAGTTTCTCACACACACACGCGTACACTCTCTCTCTCTCACACACATTAAAGCATGGAATAATAATATTAATATGGAAAAATTGTTCAAAAAGACATGACCAAATTTGAATTTGTTGAGAAGGACTTGGAATTTGAGGAAGGATTGAGATCTAGTGACATCAAATAGAACGATCAAAAGATTAAAATGCTCTTGATTGAAATGTATGAAGGGATAAATGATTAAATTACCTTTAGCAAATTCTCTCCCTCCCCTGCTCCCATCCGATGAGATTTCTCGTAGCATATTGTCCTAGCCCATCATGATTCCGCTAGTGATGGAGACAATGATGAATAAGGTAAGGTTGGTGTTGATCCGCGATTCTCACCTATGCT